ACACACACACACACACACACACACACACACACACACACACACACACACACACACCCCCGACAATTCTTTGTTTATAAGCACTAGGCTAAGAACCCTGTGTCTAGCCTGTCGACATCTGTCATCATCAGCTCTGTGTCATCATCAAACCTGACATCAACTGAGGCATTGGTTAAAGAATGTTACACCGCACTAGGCCAAGGGCAGATCCCTGGGGCACTCCACTGCAGACCTTCCAAGGTGACCTTGACTGTCTGCTCTTTGTATCCAACCATTCAGTCTATTCCAAATCTTAACTAATTGTACCTTCTAGGCTCAGGGAAGGCCTAGATCAAGGCCGGAAGGGACTTTCATGCTCATCACTTCCAACCCCCCCATTTCACAGTTGAGGAACTGAAGCCCAGAGAACTAAATGACTTGCCCAGGGTCACATGGCTGGTAAGTATTTGAGGCAGGATTTGAACCCAGGTCCTCCTGATTACAAGCACAATACTCCTCTATACCACATGTCCCCTTCATCCATATCTCCTTTTCCATTAGAGACTTCCCACAGCCCCATAAGCAGTGAGAAGTCGAGTCAGATTTGATCCTATTCTGTCTCCAAAGCTGGTGCTTTTCTCCTCCCATATTTGCAGAGGTGGGGGACTATGGGTGTAGAATATCACATACACTGTCAGAGTGTTGGTTTTGCTGAATGAGCTGCCTTTTCTCTCTCTTTCTTTATAAATCTTTATTATGAGGGATGTTTCACTGGCTAGGGGTGAGGACAGGAACGTCTGGAAAGAAAATGGATATAAAGAAAAAAAGATTATCACTCAAAATAAGATTAAAAACCCTTCAACCTGGTACTTTTTTTAACAACGCCATTAATGTTCAGGGCACAGAGAGGAGCGGGCAGGACCCAGAGGCCAAGGCTTCTGGCTCAGGCCTCTTACTTCCGCTAGGGCCATTGTTCAGCAGGGCGGAGGCTGGTTCTCAGGCCAGTGAACTGCTGAACTGCTTCAAGGATCCGGGACAATAGCATCTGGGTCTTACCTTCCCTCTCCCTGATGTGAGTGAGGAAGGCTGGTGTTCTGTCTTTCCCATATGTGACCTCCTGGTCCCCTGCAGGGTGCTGGCAGTTCAGGGAGACTTTTTTTTTTTCTCTGATTCTCCAGATCTTATCCCTGTTTGGGATTTTCTTCTGCCTTCCCTCCCAAAAAGGTACATGGGGAAATCCTCAATGTTCAGAATGCAGTGGAAGATAACCTCAAGCGAGAGATGAACTAAGGGCTAGATAAATCTTAACTGCTGTTACTGTTGCTATAACATACTCGGCTTATGCCTTAGGTTGATTTTTTGGGGTACATGTTTCCTCCTCAATAAAATGGAAGTTTCTCGAAGTCAGGGACTGATTTGCTTTTGTCCTAGTAACCCCAGTGCCTAACACAGTGCCGGTGCATGGTAGGTGCTTTTAATATTCATTAGGAGTTGATTAATAATAAGTGGTCATTGAATGAATGAATGAATGTTAGGGCTGGAAGAGACCATTGAAAATGAGTCCGGGTTTTTCCCTTTTGTTCTGATTCTTCTTTCACAGCATGACTAATATGGAAATATGTTTAATATGATTGTACATGTATACAGCCTATATCAGATTGTATGCCATCTTGGGGAGGGGGACAGGGAGGGCGGGGGGAAACATTTGGAACTCAAAATCTTATAAAAGTGAATGTTGAAAACTGAAATAAATTTTAAAAAAGGAAAAAAAGAGAAAATGAGTCTAATCCTTTCCCTTCATTGAGGAGGAAAAAGAGAGGACCAGAGGAGAGAAGGGACTTAATTAGAGGCAACGTTACCCAGGTCTGCCAAGACAAGATAGGTCCAAGTGATAGGAACCTTGACTCTGACCGTAACTCGCCAGGAAGGAGGGTGGCATCAGGCCTGGGCTTAGACTCTCATTACAGGTCAAAACCATGGTCTGTAGACCCATTGCTGGTTTTTTGTTGGTTTTTTTTCCCCCTCATTTAGAGACTGTGTAGTGCAATGAAAAGTGCTTGGACAAAACATAGCAAGATTCTGAGTAATATAATGGCCAGTCTTAGCCCTGGAGAAGAGTGAGAAGATGTGCTTTCAACATAGAGGCTGTACTGACAGGTCAGGTGTCTAGAGCATGGCTGGCTAATGTTCCCCTTAGGGTTCTAGGGGGAACTTGAAAGGGTGGGGGTAGCTTTCTATGACTGTCACTCATGAGCCTCATCTGATGAGTTCCCTCCCAATATTAATCAACTATTCATCAACCGTCCTCCCAATATCAATTAACCAATTAACATCAATTAGTTTTTACAAAGGGGTGTTTACTGAGAAAATCTACCGAGAACTAAAGTACAAAACTGAAAGCCTGCCTTCTACCTTCTTAGTCCCAAGGGAGATAGACTCCAGCTTAAAGTGGTGACTACCAACAATCTCCCTCCACATTCATGCCTCCCAGTTGGCTTTTGGGGATGGCAGAGCCCATGTACAAGTCATCTCCTTGTTGGTATGACATGGTGCCTTGGCTGCTGGTTGGATTCCACTGCTGGGGTGGGTCAAACAGGTTGTTTCTCAGGTCTGAAAAATGGAGATAGCATTTATATCGCCAACCTCAATGGGCTAAAAGTAAAGTACTTTGTGAATCTGAAAAGCATTAGAAATGAATTGTTACTCATCTCGTGATTTTCTTGCAGTGATCTTAAAAGTTTTTTTTTTCTTTAAGGTGTATTTTTTTTCCCGCCTTACCCCACTGAAAATCACTGGGGTGGGGGGAGGCTCGTGGATGATGGTGAGAGGGTGACTAGCTGGCCAAGGTTAGGCTACCAATCATGGGAATATCGGCCCTAGCCCTGGACTGGGGCTGCCTGGCCCACACCTCAGCTACCCTGCCTTCCAGGAGTAACACAAGGGCCCCCTTCGTAAAAACTATGTAAATGCTGAGGAGTGAGCTTTCTTCTCTTGCATGCCCTGTTCCACCCTACCTCCCCAGCCTGACCCAGGCTAGTCAGATGACACAGAGGAACTTTGATGGAAAATGAAGACAGGACAAAGGGTGGCCTTAATCTCTGCTACTGGGGAGCCTGAGGCTGGTGGGTCACTTGAACTGAGGAGTTCTGAGCTTCAGGAGCCTAAGCCAATTGGGTGTCCACACTATGTTTAGCACCAATATAGGCAGCCCCTGGGAGCTGTGGCCCACGCTGTAAATGGGGCCGGTCAGTCCCCATGCTGATGACTGGTGGGATTGGGTCTATGAATGACTACTACACTTGTAGCCTGGGTGAGATGGGGAGACCTAGTCTCAAGGAAGAGAAAAGAGGAGAAGAGAAGGGAGAAGAGAGGGAGGGAGGAAGAAGGGAAAAAGAAGGAAGGGAAGGAGGGAGAGGGGAAGGATGGGAAGGAGGGAGGGAGGGAGAAAACAAAGAAGGAAAAAAGGAAGGAGAGAAGGAAGGAAGGAGGGAAAGAAAGACAATGAAGAAAAGCTTGAGTTTTCAGAGAAGCCCGATTCCTTAAGGACCGACTACGCAGAGTACCTGAGGCTTCTCAGGAGGCACCCAGGCGTAATGGGATGTGTTAGAAAACTTGGGCTGAAGCCTTGGCTCTGTAAATCTTGGGCCATCTATGTGACCTTGGACAAATCACTTTACCTCTTTGAGTTTCAGTCTCCTCATCTCCAAAAAGGGGCTAAAATAATACAGCACATGGAGGGTAGTGGCCTCCCCTTCCCAAATTGCTCTTTCTTTTTTCTTTCTTCTATGTTCTGTATTGACATCTGGGGAGCTAACGTTTTCTAGTCGAATGTAAGCCCCTTACGGGCAGAGACTGCCTGGTTCTGTTTTTAATAACTGGTTCAGGCTTGTGTCTTTTATCAATGTGGAGAACTCTATAACCGCTGTCCCACCTGCCATGTTACTTACATCTTACTCTCCTTCACTCACTCCGAGATCTGGCCAAACTGCCAACCCTGCTGTTTCTCACCCAGGACATTCTCCCTCTCACCCTGGAGGGCTTTTGGTCTGTCTGTTCTCAGTGCCTGGAATTCCTCTCCTCCGCCCCTTAAAATCCCCTGGCATCATTGAAGCTCTCAGCTCAATGCTGCCTTAGGCAATGGTTATAACTAAAGTCTTCTCCATGAAAAGACCGGTGATCCACAGATCCCTCCTCAAACCTTCTGTGTCTTGCCCCCTAGGGCGCCATCCTCCTCACTCATCCCTGGCCTCAGCTCTGCCCCAGTGACATCTCCTGGGATGCCCCCCACTACCTCCCACTGTCCCTTCCCCCACCCTGCCCCAAGACTGAGAGAGTGTGCAGAGCTTTATAACCGTCAGAGGTAGCGTAACTTTCTAGGGTTCCATTTCGTATTTAGAGACTTTGACTTACCCAGAAGAGATGTGACTGGAGGGTTTTCTCCAGGAAATCTCAACTTGGGCTTTCCTCTTTCGGGAAGCAAAAGGGAGTGGCCGCCCTGACCTTGGCGCTTCCCTGAAGAAGACTGAGGAGCTCATGGGTGTGGAGCCTGGAGAACCAAGCTTGCAGGCCCTGGTGACTTCAGTCACCTTCTTTATTGGAAATCTGAAAAGAAATCGGGCCAGAGGTTACCTCAGGGTGATTTATTTAGATCAGGGGTCTTCTCCCCTTTCTCCCTTTGGACCACAGCTTAACTTTCTTTTTCTTTCTCTTTCTTTCTTTCTTTCTTTCTTTCTTTCTTTCTTTCTTTCTTT